CAAGGCCCCAGGTCCAATCCCAGCAGTGGGTGTGAGGGAAATGGCGTGGTATTTGCATGTAAACCATCCACATCCTCCTGTGCACATTAAATTAGCTCTAGATTATGTGTGATCCCTAATACAATGTAACTGCTTTGCAGAGAGTTGTCAGAGGATACTATTTAGGAAATAATGACAAGAAACAAAACTGCATATATTTAATTACAGAGGCCACTGTTGTGGAAATAACTTCATAGCTGAGGGTCAGTGACCGATGAGCAGACACAGGAGAGAGGCTGACTGTGGAGAAATTGTTTAGGAAAGTGGCCACAGCTGGGGGTGGGGCAAGGCCTGTAAACTCAGCTACCTGGGGGCTGAGGCAGGAGGATCAAAAATTCACCGCCAAACTGGGTAACTCAACAAGACCCTGTCTCAAAACAGGAAGGGAGGGAGGGAGAGGAGGAGGGAGAGAGAAAGGAAGGAGCAATATAGCTCACCATAAGAAGCTTGCTCTCCATCCCGATGACCTGAGTTTGATCCCTGGGACCTGCATGGTGGAAGGAGAGAACTGATTCCTGCCGGTTGTCCTCTGACCTCCATACTTACATGGTGTGTGCATACACACACAGTAAATAAATGTAATTTGAGAAGAAAGCAGGAGGGGCAGGCCTGGGATATAGCTCAGTGGATCTGAGTTTATTCTATTACTAAGAAAACAAACAACGGTCGTCATGGGAGGGCACTGGTTTGAATTAGACAGGAAGAGTGGTGAAGACGGAAGCCCTAGACCTAAGGGAAGAGAGCTCCAGACTAGGACACCTAGGGGTGGGGAGAGACAGTGTGTCAAGAGTGCACTGACCACCAAATCAGGGAGCAGGAGAGAGCAGGACACTTGGATTTTTGTTCAAATTTGCAGTAGAAAGCCTTTGAGTTTGTTGTTGTTGTTGTGCGTGTGTATGTGTTTAAGATTTATTAATTATGTATAGTGTTTCATCTGCATTTCTGCCTGGGCCAGAAGAGGGCACCAGATTGCATTACAGATGGTTGTGAGACACCATATATATGGTAAATGGGATAGGAATTGAACTCAGGACCCCTGGAAGAACAGCCAGTGTTCTTAACCCCTAGGATCATAGAAATTTTTTTGTGTGTTGGTGTTTTGTTTTATTTTTTGTTATTTTTTTTTTTGAGACAGGGTTTCTCTGTGTGGCGCTGGCTGTTCTGGAACACTCTGTAGACCAGGCTGGCCTTGAGCTCAGAGGTCCACCTGAGTGCTGGGATTAAGGGCGTGCACCACCATGTTCAGCTTTTGGGACATTTTAAAACTGGACAGGACATTATTTTAGTTAGGCTTTGCATGGGTCACTTTATTTTGCATCTGGGGATTGAATCCAGAACAAAGTCATCAGGGGTTGAAAGGGAAGAAAATGGGAAGTAATCTGATTGGGGATATACCTTAGGAGAGTACCAACAGAGCTTCCTGTTAGACTGAACATGGGGTAGATAAGGGGGAAAAAATCAAGGACACACACAAGGTTCAGGCTTCAACAGGGCCTAATGAGGTGTGGTTCTGTATAGGAAAGTGTGTCCTAGGTGCAAGGCTGGGCATGTTTGGACCTGGCATGTGGCCCAGGGCTGGCCCTGCCCTCACTGCTCAGACACCTGCCATGGAGCCCTGCTGCTTCACAGAGTGCTTACCAAGCTCCTCCCCACAGCCGATACTGCCAGCTCTGGGGTCTTGGCTCATTTAGCCACAGCTCACTGAGCACCTATTGTATGGTTGGATTAGTGGTGAGACAGAGGGTTCCCAGATACTGTCCTGTGTGGGGGGGGGGGGGGGGAAGACATTAAACAACAGCAATACCTACAATTGCGCAAATGCATGAAGGGGGACAGGGAACCAGGATTTGGGGGAGTACAGGGGGCTGTAATGTAAGGAGGCCCTGCCCTGCCCACTGGGAACTTTGAGTAGATAGGAGAGGTGGAGAAGACTGTGACAGGGCACCTGGGATGGAGACGCCTGGAATGGAAGGGCCTGGAGCATGCTGGGAGGAGGTGGAAATGCCTATGGTGGAGGAAGGAGGCAGGGCACATAGCAGTCAGAGCCCTGGGGGTCAGTGCCCACAGGAAAAGTGGAGGGCAGGGCACCAGCCAGGCACAGTGGCAGGACCTACTGAAGTACACAACCCCCAACACTTTTGTCTCAAGCTCTAGCAACTCTGTCACCAGATCTGAACCCCACTACATCTCCTATCCACTTCTTGGCCTTGGTGTTCTCTTCTGTACAATGGGAATGAAAGATGACAGTGATGGGCTGGTGAGATGGCAAAGCAGCAAAGGCACTTGTTGCCAAGTCTGAGGACCCAGGTTCAATCCCAGAATTCACAGAGTGGAAGGAGAGGACCAACTCCCTTAACCTGCCCCCAGACCGCCACACTCAGGTCCTCTCTCGCACATACCAATAAATAAATAGAATGATTCTACTACAACCTTCTGGGCCATCATTCTGCGCAGGCACTGTCTGTCTTCCAAAGGGTTCTGAGTGTAGCTCAGTTGGTAGTGCTTGCTTAGCTAGCACAACACTCTTGAGTTTCATCCCCAACACTGAATAAAGCTGGAACAGTGGCACAACCTGATTCCTACACTCTGGAGGTGGAGGCAGGATAATCACAAGTTCAAGATTATCTTCATTAGAACAAGTTCTAGGCCATCCTGGGCGACACGAGGCCCTGTCTCTATGCAAAGAAATAAATGTCTTACAAATCCTGTTGTATCAAACCCCAGCACCAAGTCTGAGAGGCTGTCTTACTACGAGTCCCATTCTTAGCGAGGAAAACAGGCTGGATATGTCCAGGAACTCACTCAGCCAAACGCACATCTTCCAGCTTTCAGCACTGGGATTGTATGGCTTTAGAGTCCAAGTCTGCCACAGCAAGGTTTTATTATTTTATGTGTATGGGTATTTTGCTTGTGTCTTAAGTTACTTTCCTATTGCTGTAATAAGACACCACGGCCAAGGCAGCTTAGAGAAGAAAGTTTATTTGGGGATTACTGTTTCAGAGGGTCAGAGTCCACTACCATCATGGTGGGGAGCACGGCAGCAGGCGGGCAGGCGTGGTGATGGAGCAGTAGCCGAGAGCTGGCTTCTTGAGCCACTAGCATGAGACAGAGAGAGCTAACTAGCCATGGGTGAGCTCTGAAAGCTCCAAGCCAACCCCCAGTGACACAGCTCTTCCAACAAGCTACACCTTCTAACCCTTCCTAAACAGTTTTACCAACTGGGGACCAAGCATTTAAATATATAATATAGAGACTGTTCTCATTCAAACTTCCAAAGCCAGCATGTATGTCTATGCCTGGAGCCTACAGGCTCTATGTCTATGTCAGACCCTCTGGAGCTGGAGTGACAGATGGTTGTGAGCTGCCATGTGGGTGCTGGGAACCACATCTGGGTCCCCTGAAAAAGCAGTCATGCTCTTAACTGTAACAAGTCTTTTTCTGTCCTGCCAACCAACTCCCAAATAATGACACAGAAGCATCTTATTAATTATGAAAGCTCGGTCTATAGCTTAGGCTTGTTCCTAACTAGCTCTTACAACTTTTATATTAATCTATGTTCTATCACGTGGTGTTACCTCTCTTCCATCTTGCACCTCCTCTTTCCTCTCTGTGTCTCCTGGCTTTTCCTGCACGCCTCAATTCCTCCTCTTCCTTTCTCTCCCCGGAAATCCTGCCCATACTATTGGCCATTCAGCTTTTTATCACACCAATCACAACAAATACACCTTTACCCAGTGACCAAAGATCCCACGACACTTAACTGCTTAGCCAACTCCCCAGCTGTTCCCACCCCTGCCGCCATGGCAAAGTTTTAGTATGGTGGTTCTGCCTATCTCTGGGCTGCAAGCTCACTCAGCAAATGTCTGTAGTCTCCTGTGTGCCAGGCACTGTGGTGGGCTCTGCACACAAAGTGATGGAACATAACAGACAAGGTCCCTGCTCTTACAAAGGTGACACTCTGATGACAGATGAATACATTAGTAGGCTATATAAATAAGTTTTACCATGTAATACAACAGTAACAGATTTTAATAATGGTAGCACAAGGGACTCATTGTGTGCAAGACAAATGACATCTACAGCTTTTTTTGTTTGTTTTTGAGACAGGGTTTCTTTGTAGCTTTGGAACCTATCCTTGTTTTTGAGACAGGGTTTCTTTGTAGCTTTGGAACCTGTCCTGGAACTAGGTCTTGTAGACCAGGCTGGCCTCGAACTCACAGAGATCCATCTGCCTCTGCCTCCCAAGTGACAGCTTTTTTTAAAAAAAAAAAAAAAGATTTATTTTATGTGTGTTTTGCTTGTATGTATGTATGTGTACCACCAGCATGCAAATGCCTATAGAGGTCAGAAGAGGGCGATTGATCCCTTAGAACTGGAGTTACAGACAGGTGTGAGCCACCATGTGGGTGCTTGGAACTGAACCCAGGTTTTCTGCAAAAGGAAAAAGCCTTCTTAATGATGGAGTCATCTCTTCAACCCCAAATTTAGTTTTAAAACTCATTTTTTTTGTTTGTTTTTTTCGAGACAGAGTTTCTCTGTAGCTTTTGGAGCCTGTCCTGGCACTAGCTCTTGTAGACCAGGCTGGCCTCAAACTCACAGAGATCTGCCTGCTGAGTGCTGGGATTAAAGGTGTGCACCACCACTGCCTGGCTTAAAATTCACTTCATGTATCAACTCTACGGGAGTGGGTGCTATCACTTATCCTGTTTTCTGATGAACAAATGGGAGTATAAATGAGTTGGCTGGGCTTGAGACAATGATCAGGCACAGAGAGGTTGAGTGCCCTGCCTGGGGCCACAGGAGAGCAGAGCTGCTGGCAGAGGGAACACAGAGAGTAAAGTCACTGGGTAGTGGAAATGGGCTGGCTGGCCTGATGGGGGGGGGGCTATCTTGGTTGCCGTAGAGAAGCACAAACAGCAGGGCAGGCGTGATGGGCCGGGAACACTGTGCTTATGTTGTAGGAGGCTAACGGGCCTGCCGATGGCTATGCTGCAATTGCTCAGGCGGACAGGTTGACTCAGGAGCCTGAGAGCATCCGAAAGTGGAGAGAGGAACAGAAGAAGAGGCTGCAGGAGCTGGGTGAGGGCATAGCTGGGAGAGCTGATTCCAGCAGGGATGGCTGGGGCCCGGTGGGTGGGACAAGGTGAGGCAGCCTTGGAGTCTGTACAGGCCCACTTGGCTGAGGGTGGGTGCTGGGGCTGCTGCCTGGGGGCCAAGGGTTGGGTATCCAGGGTGGCTGTTCCCCACAGAAAAGTTGTACTCATTCTTCCGCTGGGCTCACAGACGCTGCCTCTAAGGTGACTGAACAGGAGTGGCGGGAGAAGGCCAAGAAGGACCTAGAGGAGTGGAACCAGCGCCAAAGCGAGCAGGTTGAGAAGAACAAGATCAACAACAGGTGAGTGACCCTGGGGACCCGAGGGGAGCTGAGGAGACTGAGGGCAGTCATGGCAGCACGAGGGGTGGCTGTGAGGAGATGAGGGGAGCCATGAGCACCTGAGGGGTCTGAGGAGGCAATGAAGGTCATGGTGGTGTTGGGGGCTGTCTTGAGATGGGTGATGTAGTAAAGACATGGAGGAAAGAGCTGCTGGAAGCCTGGGGTTCCTCAGCACGTCCACTCCTGAGCCCTCTCTGTGACTGACAGGCAGCAGAACGGGTGCCACAATGGAGTGTGACTAGACTCTCCAGGACCCTGAGCCCTCTGTAGGTAACTCAGAGAGGCACAGGCCTGGTAGAGAGTGAAGAGCCAGCCTGAGTATTTGATTTCACTTCTTATAGAAATGACAGTACTTCAGCCCAGTGTGGCTAAGGGATGAGCATTAGTGGCCTGTATAAACGAAAAGGCCAGGACAGTGGCATTGGGGCACACATGAAGTCAGTCAGCAGTCTCCCTGCCGCTCAGCTGAGCTTCCTTCTGCTCTGGGCTTCCTGTTGGACGTACACTGTGTATGGGAGCAGCAGCTTCAGTTTTCTGCTCTACTGGGTTGGCAAGCTTGGTGAAAACAGCAAGCATCTAGCAGCTCCTGCCAGAGTTGGCTCGGGCTATGTGCCCAGGCCAGGCCCCTGACTGTAGAGAGGAGGGGGGCACTCCAATTGGACCCAGCCAGGGTGGAAGTCTCATTCACTGGGCTGCACATGGGGGCCAGTGGACTGCAGGGTGAGCAGCTGATCCTGTAAAGCACAGGCCGGATAGGGGTGTGGGTGCAAACCAGAGAACATGTTTGTGGACATGGATGCTCTCCTGCTTTGGATGCTGTGCCCTTCAAGATACAAGATCTTCCCGGGAGGGAGATATAACCAAAATGCTGCGTGCCAAGTTGGACACTGGGTGTCAGATGAGGACCCTTCTGTGTCCTCTAGGAGTCCAGAGGAGTGAATCACACGTGCGCAGCCAAACTTGGATCTATTGGGACTCTATGCGTGAAGACCATAGAAGCAAAGAAACAATTAGCATGCCAGAGAAGAACCAGTGTCTAGACCAGTGTTTCTCAACCTGTGGGCCACAACCTCCCCCCCCCCCCCCCCCCCCCCGCCTCAGGGTTGCTTATCTGTATCTCACATATCAGATATTTTCATTATGATTCCTAACAGTAGCAAAATTACAGTTGTGAAGTAGCAACAAAATAACTTTATGGTCGAGGGTTAGCACAGCATGAGTGTTAAAGGGTCTCTGCATTAGGAAGGTTGAGAACCACTGGTCTAGAGACTTGTCTTTGAGGGATGACGTTGGCTCATCAGGAAAAGGATTAATATAAGGAAGAACATTCTAGAGCTGGGAGCATATAGTGTGTTGTTGGTCTACAGGGAGTCAAGGTATAGAGGGAATGGTTTTAGGAAATAGGTGGCTTATGGGAATGGCATTGGAAGGGTCTTGGGAAGAGACCTCACTGAGCAGTAGGAAGCCATCAAAGGTACAGCACGCCCCACTCTTATAGGTAATTGTTAGCTTTTAAATTGTACTTCCTAACATGTCTCCTATGGAGGTACTAACACATGTTTCTCTTTCTCTTTAACCCTGTGCCTGCCTGTCTTGCTGTCTGTCTTCCCCTACCTAACTCCTTCTCCTAACTTTCTCCTCAAGGATCGCTGACAAAGCGTTTTACCAGCAGCCAGATGCTGATGTCATTGGCTATGTGTACGTGTCTCTGCTCTCTGCAGGCAGCTGTGGAGGGCAGCCCAGCGGTTTTTCAGAATCTCTTGTCTGTGTGGTATAAATGCATGTGGCTGGGCTCGGAGCAATGACCAAAGCAGCAGGCGAACTCCAGGGCCGGAGCAGCCCTTGCCTTTCACCCTTCCATTTCTGTCCCTCCAGCAAACTGGAGGCAGCTTTGCCCATTAGGGTTCCCAAGTGGGGGCGGAGGAGGGCGTGCACTACCCAGCATCACATGGGAGGGCAGGGGTCACAGCAGTCTAGTTCTTCTCTGAGATGCTTCTTGTGGATGGGTAGGTGAGAAGGGGAGTTTTATTGGACAAACACCAAGCATAGAGTGCTGAAGGCATAAACAGTAAGGGATGTCTTAGTGTCTACCCTGCCCCCACCCGAGCGCACTGACTTGACCGTGATGCCTGGCCCACTCCACAGCAGCCCCTCTCCTGTGTATCTGAGTTTGGAATCTGGCTGGCACTGTGCTGCTCTGGATTTGGAATGGCAAGCGGGTTTCCTCTCATACCAGCCCCAGGCGTAGGTAGTGCGCTCTGGACAGCAGTGTTGTTTACTCATTTCACACATGTCCTTACTGTTCCTGCTGGAGCCAGGCCTGCTGAACCACACGCCACTGCAGCCTCTGCTGCCATCTGCACTGTTCCCCCTCACACAGCACAGGCACAGCAGGTAGCAGCCTTCCTTTCCTTCTGCCCACCCCCTCCTTCGCCCATCTGGCCCTTACCTGCTGGTACTAATCCCATGCCAGTCACTGGTCAAACACAGAGAAGAGACACACAGAGCCCTCACCCTGCGAGTTGCTCATGGATGGGAACACATTTATATTACGAGCTCTGGAAGCCGCCCTCTCTGCTGGGGACCCAGTGCTTCAGGCTCATGACTCTTGGCTGCACCTTAAGATTTAAAGATGAATGCTGGGTAGTAAGGGTTGAGAAGGGCACTCTAGATGGGAGAAGCAGCTGAGACAGAGGCCTGGAGAGGACTGAGGGGTGGGGCTTGTGGGGATGGATGGACACTGAGGCTGGGAGGTCCCGGCAGGACTCTCTGTTGTGCTAGGCTAAGAAACGTAGATTTAACCTCAAGGCAGTGGTGAGCTATGGAGGCTTCTAACAGGGAAAGGAATACCTGGCAGGTGTGGGTGCTGTAGAACACTGCTGGGTTCAGTGTTCCTCATGGACCCAAGAAAATGGTCCAGAGGACCCAAGGAGGCTACGAAGGAGACTGAATTGGAATCAAGACTTCTCAGCCTTCTACCTGCCCACGCATTTCCAAGGGAGCTTGAGCAAAGCAGATTCTGGTTCTGCAGGACTGAGGTGAGCTCAGCCTGTTTCTAACAAGCTCCATGGGGATGCCCATGATGCTGGCCATGGCCCACAGATCAGCAGTAAAGACAGAGGGCAACCTCTTGACCCTGATGGGCAGCTCCAAGGATAAATCCTTCATCACACCAGCATAGACCCATCACCATGGCTGCTTAGGTCAGAGAACAGCTCAGAAGAGTGGAAGCCATGCTTCTCCCCTCACAGGATAGCTGAGTACACTGCAGAAAGACAAGATCATGACAGACGGCCACGTCATTGAGCCTGGGCCAGCTTTTCTAGTAGGTGTAACACAGTGGGGTCACCTGGAGAGCTCTACTACCATCCAGACCCACTTCCCAACTGCCCCCCAACTTTGTATCCTTTCTTCCCCCTCCCAAATAACTGGGTCCAATTGGTGCTGTTCATAAACTCCTCAGTATGGACCTATGGGGAGCCACACCAATAATCAAAACTGACTTTCCCTCCCCCAGAAGCCATAGGCTGTCTATACAGCTCCTCAGTTAGGGGGCTCGTGAACCCTTTCAACTCCATGCTAGAATGCTGACTGGTTTGCTCTTATACAGGTAACCAGCTCCTGTGAGTTCATGCCTGCCAGTGTCCTGTCATGACAGAAGACATTTGCTCTCTATCTCTCTTGACCACTGGCTCTATAAGATCTTTCTGTCCCCTTTCCACTATGGTCACTGAACCCTGGTGTGTTTTACAGATGTCCCAATTACAGCTAAGCACTCTAAGTCAGTGACTTTCAAAACTATCAACCAGAAATTCTGAAGTGTGGTAGAGTTCTTGCCTGTCATACATACAGACAGAAATTCAACACCCGGCACCATCTAAACAAGCAGAGACTCCTGAAGCAGAGATCACCCCAGTTTTTATTCTAGCATGATTCCAACTGGAGCAAAGTTTCCAATAGAGCCTTCCTCAGGCTGTGACTCCATCCACACAGAACTTTCGAGCTCAGGTTTCTGTAGTCAGATAAGCTTGTAGGCAATCCTACAGCCATTACATAGTTGGTTAGGTGGTTAGTCAGTGTTCTCTCTTGGTGAAGGTCTTGGAGGTGTTGCAAACAGTTGAGGTAGAGGTAGAGACATAGCCTAGTGGTAGACTTACCCAAAATATCTGAGGCCCAGGTTCAATCCCTAGTACTGAAAAAGAAGGACAGAAAGGCGGGGGGAAGCTGGTGGCTTTTACCAGGAACTCCAGTGCGGGAACTCATGATGGAAAGATACTGAGTGATGGTACAGGCTGTGCTCTCAGCAAGGTCAGGAGTTCAAGGTCAGTCTTGGCCAGGCACCTAGCCTGGCCTAAGTGAGACCCATGTAAACAAAGGCAAACAAAAAGGAAAGGGTAGGAAGGGAGAGACAGAAAACAGAATTCCCAGACCAAGAAGGCCTTTCTGAGGAGGTGAAGCCCACTCTGGGAATGAAATGATAAGCAACATGCTAGCCAGGTGCAGTGGCACACACCTGTAATCTCAGTACTGGGGAGCTAGGGCGAGAGGACCCTCTGAGCTCAAGAGGGAAAGAGCAGCTTGGGCTCTAACAAAAAGCAATAGGCATGAGCCAGTGAAAAACCCTCTCAGAAGGAGGTGACAGTAAGTTCAAAAGCCCTAGTCTAGATGACTTCGGCTTCCACACGTAGGCCTAGGTTTCTTATGTCAAGACTGTTCCAGGTGGCTGAAATCATAGGGAGCAGGGCCCCAGAGTAGGCTGCACACCACAGACTGTTGGGAGCAGAACATTAGTTACCCAGGAGAAGACAACCATGAAAACGTCTGTCCTTTCTCCACCTTCAGGGCATCTGAAGAGGCCTTTGTGAAGGAATCCAAGGAGGAGACCCCAGGCACGGAGTGGGAGAAGGTAGCCCAGCTGTGTGACTTCAACCCCAAGAGCAGCAAGCAGTGCAAAGATGTGTCCCGCCTGCGCTCGGTGCTCATGTCCCTGAAGCAGACACCACTGTCCCGCTAGGTGCCTGCCGTTAAGAATGGCCACAGAGCATGGGCCTTGCTGGGGCAGAGGAGCAGCTGCTTCAGCCAGGGTGGAACTTCCTCTGGCAGCTGCCACACACATCCCGTTCTGTTCCTCTGCTTCTCTGGGAGCTGGGAAGTGGGACCCTTACCCCTTTGAACCCCCACTCCCTCCTGGCCCCATGTTCTAGCCCCTCAAGACTCCTGAGTTCACTCAATTGTGACTGTCCCTCCTGATGTATTTTTTCTTGGCTTAAAGGGTATGTTAACTCTTTTTACACTTATTTATTATTATCCTCTTTCTCTGGAAGCTGCAACTGGTGTCAGGGCTCGGTTTGTGCTTAAAACTTTCCCAGCTTCATGCCCTCAAGAGGTGAGGATGTACACTTGCAGACTCAGGAGCTGCCAACTGGAAGCAGGAACCCCAAACTCAGTGTGCTATCTCTGCCAACAAGAGGAAAGACAAGCTCTCACAGAACACTTTTGCAACCTTGCTCTTTATGATTCTTTAACAAGCCTGAAGGTAGGGTCTCTGCTAAGAAAACTATGGCTCCCAGAGCAGAATCAGCTTGCAGTGTAGAAAGCAGGTGAGGCCAGTGACCTCTGTGGTGTCTGAGACTGAGCACATCAACTGCCAGACCTTCTTTCCTGGGAGTGACGGGGACCCTCTAAGATGTGGCAGGCCTGCTGCAGGCAGACGCGCCTCCCCTCCTCAGTTGTTCCCGCTTGTGGACCTGGGGTAAACAACAGTGACCACACCTCCTTCCCTTCAGCTGAGGCTGTAAACAGGACATTTAAGCCATTATTCTCTCCATGTGTTTAAAAAGATCTGAGTAACTGCCAATAGTATTTGTGCCCTAAGACTGCTATAACAAAGTGCTAAAATCTGGGTGTCATAGAGCATCAGAAATTTGTGCTCACAGTTCTGGATGCTAAATTCCCAAATCAGAGACCCACGAAGCCACTCCCTTTGTAGCTGCTAAGGCAAGATCTGTGCCTCTTTCTAACTTCCAGCAGCTCAGGCATCCCTTGGCTTGCAGATACAGCCCAGCCCTCTGGTTCTGCCTACACCCTTATATGGCTGTCTTCATCCTCCTCCCATATATGTCTTGTCCATATGGAACAATAGACATAATGGTCCAAGTTTTGTTAAAAATATGGATACTAGTCTTACTGGACCAAAGTCTACCTTAAAGACTTTAATTATTAATGGCTATAAAGTTCCTATTGCTAAAATAATACCTAAAGAATTAAGAGTTGGAATCCAACTCTCACATGTATTTTAGGGGGTGGGCATCGTAACAGGAACACAGTGGACATGACCTTGAAAAGGGGTGCCATCTTCAGTTCTTTATGCTCTGCCCTTGCATCTTGCACTGGGCTTCACAATGCAGTGTTCAACGCTGGCAATCTGCCTCCCAGCCAAGACCATGAAGGAGGTGCAAACGCCTGGCTCTAGTCATGGACCTTCCACTCAGATCTAAGTCATGTCAGGTACAAGAAATGTACCTTCACTTTCGTCCCAATTCCCAGCTTGAAGCAGGTGTTGAGAGGGTGAGAGTCACACATGGGAGAAGCTCAGTTCCTCAAGTCAACACAGTGCTGACCACAGACCCACAAATGTCTGCTGAGACTTTCGCGTCAAAAGCTGGGTGGTATAGATCAGCAGAGCCTGAGGGCCTCTGAAGAGACAGGAGTAAGAAGCAGACAAAGGATGGTGGTGGTGTGGGTGTTGGACATCCCAACTCCAACAGGACTATGACAGGCCTCATCTAAAGGCTATAGAAACTTGAAGATTGCTGGCAAAGTTCCCCCTATTCCACCAAAAGGAACAAATTTTGGCCTACTGAACTAGAATCCTAAGGATGAACATTTGGGACACTCTACTTTTAACTAATGGCCAAGTGACTTGACAGTTACCAGGAAAGTTTGGGTGGCACTAGGATCTATGTTTCTCTCTCATGACTGGAGGTTGAACCTAGGGCCTCACAAGGACCACATGCTGTACAACTGAGTTGTATCCCCAGACCATTTAAAATTTTGATATTAGGTCTCACTAAGTTACTCCTCTAGCTGATCTTGAACTCTTGAAATTACAGGCGAGATTCTTCTCCCTCAATCCACAGAGTAGTTGAGGCTATAGGCACTATCAGGCCCCACTGATTTCTACAGGCCAATCCTACCAACAGCCTCCTGTTCCTTCCTAAAAACATGGACCAAAAATCAGGGCTTTGACCATAGGTATGAGACTAAGAATTCATCACATTAACAGTGTATTAAGGCTTTATTAAGTAAGTAGTTAAGGGGACGCATCACAGATTTTTAGTGTGCAACCCAGCTGAAGTGAACCTGGGATTTCGGAGGAGAGGAGGACGGACATCAGTCACAAAAACCGGTCACTTCCTCACCCAAATGATGACAACAGGGTACAGTCAGAAACGGAGGGAATACGTCTGACAGGACTGTTTGTTGCTCCTGGGTTTTACAATGATTTCCATGGAGCTCTCAAGGCCCGGCCAGACACTCAGGATCGAGACTTCATAGCAGATGCCGCTAACCCCAACAAGATGGCTACGACCGTGAAACCCTGGGCAGCGATCCGGGTGCGCATCATTATCTGGGAGCGGTGGCTCTGGCCGCGGTGGAAGCAGTAAAGGCCATAGGAGAGGGCAGCCGCCGTACCCAGACAACCTGGGGAGAGGACAACACACACAGGGGGCAGCAGGTTGGGTCCTGCACGTTCTTTGAGGATGTAGCCCACCTCCACTCTCCCAGAGCCTCGTTTTGTAGACGACAACAGGAGGGCGAGAGTGGGTAGGTCTAGAGTTCTCTTCATCAAGCCCCGCAACGCGCTCCGATCCGTTTCAGTTTTCCCTGCCCTACCCTTTCGTCACATCTTCCGCACACTCCCTTTCCCTCACCCAAAGCGTACCTGGTCCGCCCCTATTTCATTCCCCCACGAAATCTCTGACACCATAGTCTTCGGTTCCTAAAGCACACACTTACCTATGGGGACCATTGGGTTCTCACGGGTCTTGCGAATAAATTTCTCCTTGAAGCTCTCTGGGTTGCTGTAGACCGTGCGACTGAAGCCCTCGATGACTGGAGCCTGGGACGGATCGAAAGGCGCCTCTGAACTGACAGGACGGGAAGCCGCCATAGCCACCGGCACAGAAACAGGTAGGAAAAAAATCCGGACGTCGAACCCCGCCTTCTGATGAGGTCACCACGAGGGCAAGGAAAGAACCTGCTGAGGGTAGTACGCAGGCGCTATTGCCAACTTTATTCTGGGAGTTGTAGTAAATCAATGTGGAGGCGATACTAGAAAGACTACATTTCCCGAGAATCCCTGCGCGCGCTCGGGCGCAGAGCCTGTTAACACGCGGTTCTGGAAGTGTGGTCAAGAGTTAGAGTTAGAGCTGCTGCTTCTGAGTTTGAGCTTCTGGTGCGGCAGTCTGCGAGATGCCCAAGGCCAAGGGAAAGACTCGGAGGCAGAAGTTCGGTTACAATGTCAACCGAAAGCGTCTGAACCGGAATGCTCGTCGGAAGGCAGCTCCACGGATCGAGTGGTGAGGGGGCAGGGGCCTCGGCCTCGGCTGGGATCGACGGCGAGGTGACAAGCGTCTCCATCTCTCTTTCTTTGCCGTTAGCTCTCACATTCGACATGCCTGGGACCACACCAAATCCGTGCGGCAGAACCTGGCGGAGATGGGGTTGGCCATGGACCCCAACAAGGCGGTTCCCCTCCGAAAGAGAAAGGTACTGATAAAGCAAGGTTCAGGAACCTTCCTCATCTCCACCCTAGTCCTATCCTATTTTTCTTCATCACCTTCCTTCATTGAGCTGAGTTTCAGAATTTGATCTCCCCGTACATCCTTCCCATAATTTCGACAAAGTCATTTGCTTGCACTAATTCTGGCCAAAGCCCCTTAACGACTCACACTTCCTCCTCAGCACACGCACGGGCTTGGTTTGTAGTGTCATTCCTCCAACGCTTACCATTTCTTCTCGGGCCTGTTTGGGAGTTCAGTGGAATTTTCTAGACTATGTCTTTTTTCTGTCCTTGACTGTCCAGAGCTTGAGACTGCCTTCAGTTATCCTTCACGTGAGGTATCTAGTTATTTCCCAACAAATCTATCAGGATCACCCTTTGAGCCTTTCAAAAATAGCACCCCACTTTGCCCAATCCTCTTTCCTGCTTTAATTCACAGTAATTGTAAGCACGTAATGGTATGTTATTCATTTGCACATCTGTATATTCAATGTGCGTCTTCATCCCTTAACATAATCTTGAAAACAAAAACAAAAAAAACACATAATCTTGAGTTTTGTTCTCTACTAAATTCTCAGGAAGCTAAGCTGTGACAGGTTAGTTAACCTAATAAATGGGCTTGCTGAGTGAATTTGGTGCATTGACTTTAGGCAAGTTTCTCTCTGTCCTTCAGGCAAGTGAAAATGGCACAGCGGTTCTTTAAAGCAAACCTTAAGCTGTAACTAAGCGCTGTCAGGTAATGACATGAAGAAGCTATAAGACATCGCTACCTGTGCAGTGTTTCACCGGGTTACCACACAGCAGAGTAGGAAAGGCACAGTCATAGAAAGATGAAGGGCGCGTGCTAAATTGCTTGAGTGTGGGCTTGAGCCTTCGGTGGGGCTTGGCGGGTCAGAGGTCAGCTTTCAGGAGTTGGTTCTCTTTCCACTTGGGGTTTTAGGGATTGAACCCTGGTGGGCCATCTTGATAGCCCTGCTTGTGTTTCTCTTGATAACTTTGCTGGGACTCCAGGGGTTAGTCTGTTATCTAGTTCTGCCTGACTTCAGGCAGGGATTTTCTTACACTATTGTTGTGTTGTGGACAGTGTCCTTGCTTAGTCCTATCAGACTTTCTCTGATCAAAGGTGCTTGTTTGTTGGTCTCAAGGGCTTTGTTCTTACAGGTAAAGGGCATGGAGGTAGACGTGGAGGAGAGACCCAAGGACCTTGTACGGAAGCCCTATGTGGTAAATGGTGAGTATGGGCTGTGTTCTAGGCCACCATCCTGCCTGTCGAAGGTGGAGAGGCACTCGGTCCCTTTACTATGGTGGGAGACGTTGCTGTCTGATCGAGGGCTCGGAAATAGCACTGTGTCATAGCTGAGACATTTTCCGGCTAAGATAGATGAGATTTAAATGTATGAACTCAGGTAAGACAGAGACATTAACAGAAGATAAAATTGGGTATGAAAGGATGAAACAGAAACCAATAAGTCTCAGGTTTGTTCCCAGTTTTACAGGAACTT